TGCCATGATTTTTTTGTTCTTGAACCGTGTCTTTCCAGGAAGGAAGTGGTAAACTTGCTCGAATGGGCCGGAGCGTTATCGTGCATGAATACCATCTTCCTTTTGAAGCTCACTGAGCGGGAGCGATACCAGGGAAGGAAATTCTTGCTCAGCAGCTCGGTGTACCTGACGAACAAGGAGTCAGGTGCCTGAGCTGCCTCGTTTATTACGCTTTGGAATCCATTTTCACCCCGTGCTCTACTCTGAAGGGCCCAACCACGATATCATCAATGATCCCCGCCCAGAACATGACGCCGCCACCCTTCTGTTGTCGCTTCATCCTGGGTGGGGGCGACGTGCCGTGCAGGATCCATCCTGATGCCCACGCATCGGGGCCATCCAAGGTTGCCCGGCACTCGTCGGTCCACAGGACAGTTGAAAAATCCCTCTTGATGTTCTCCCGAGCCCAATCAAGTCTCATCGTCTTGTGTCGGGCGGTCAGAGAGGGCTTGCCGACTGATTTCCGCACCTTACCGAGCTGGCCCAGCACCCTGTTACGTGATGATTTTGGCTTCATGGATACACCAGCCGCTTCGAATATCTCCTTGCTGGTCCCTAACGGCTGCTTGGCCATGGCACGCTTCAGCCTGGTTTTCTCTCGAGCGGTAACGGACTTTTTCGTGGGCCCGCGGTGCCCCTTCGGACGTTTCTCGGGGTTAGCGACGAAGGTCTTGATGGTACGATGATCCCGCTTCAAGATCTTCGAAATTTCCAAGGTAGTCTTCCCAGCAGCGAGCAGCTTGATTACGTCGGCACGTTCAGAGTCGCTCAGCTGGCTTCTTCGGCTCATCTATGCACGAAAAAACTGCCTTGCATAACGGTTTGGGTCGGTCAAAAGGGTCCGGAAATTTTCGTGCGCCCATAACATAACAATGGATGATGAAACGGTTCTGAAACGGTGTCAATCGATTTTCACTCTCATTATCAGTACACCTTTCAAAGATCATTGATAAACTCTCCTTATTGAGCAAGTTACCTCAAAAAAGGTGATTTGCATAACGGTTTGGTTCGCACTGTATAGGGATTTGATGTTACTGATGGCAATGTGCCACAGCGTTTGACTATAAGCTTGTCACTCAACACCAACTCATCTAGGCAGGATTAAGTCGAGTCTCTCGACTACAAGGCAATGGTGGCTATATTATCATTGTGATCATCATCATTATCATCAGCGTCATCACCACAGTTTCCACGCGCAGAGAGATGATGGTACATGCACCGTAGAAGGCTAAGGACTGCTACTAATACGGCAAGATTAGAATAGCGATAAGAGACGAATAAGGAGGAGAATAATATTACGTTTCAGAGAAGGGGAGTAGGGACAGCCCAACCGCCGTAGCAGCCAAGGCCGCAACCCTAATCTTAGAATGCAAGGCGGAATTGATGCTGTTTACGTTGCAGAACTACTACTACCACTACGCTTCGCCGTTTGGTGCTCTCCAGAGTCGTCTCCACCAATAGCGGCCGAGCCGTCATTACTTGGTATACCATCATCGCCATCAGCAGCTCTTGGGATGGATATCTCAACACCCTCCTCGTCGCCCCTCCCCGCTGAGGCAGCTATAGCTGCCGCCTGCTGCTGCGTAAACATGAGTTGTTGTAATACACTCAACTGCTGGGCTTGTAGTACAGACATTTGGTGAATATTAGCCGCCAATAAAGCTTCCGTATCCCTGTCTCCAGCACCAGGACCAACCCCCTGTCCAGTAGAGCTACTCGACCCTTCCCCACCAGACGATGGTCCCATCTCGAGCACCGAGCTCCCATTGTCAGTACCAGGGGGAGCCGGCCAGGCCGCGGCAGCAGCAGCAGCAGCAGCTGCTACAACGGCGGAGTTACCGGTCTTATTATCATCATCAACATCCCCTTGCTGAGAGGCACCTGCATGCTGCAAGTCTTCATACTCTTCGGATTCTCTTATCCTATTCTGCTTCCGAGGCTGCTTAGGCGACGGTGGGAGCTCAGACTGCCTATTAGGGCGTTTCCGCCGCTTCATAGCCCGGACCATCTCAAGCACTTCATGGTGGGGTCGGGTATTCTTCAACATCGTCATATGAAGCCGGTCGCTCGCCGCCTGTTGTATAGTATGTCGTACCGGTCCCTTCAGCTGCTTGCGTAGTAGCCTTACGCTCGCCACCCAACCACGCCCTTCTCGACACACCCCTCTAGGGAGGACAGAGTCGTCCTCGGGCCCTAGTTGTTGGATTGCTGCCAAGTCGTGAATAGCCTGAACGATCTCACCCGGGTTGTCAGCAGTGGCAAGGTAGTCGGCCCATCCAGGAGGCAAGCCCGCGGCAGCTGCCATGGCCGCTGGGCTCTCAGGGGTCAGATGGTGAGTAGTGGCTCCTGGAGGAATTGGCGGTGGCGGCGGGAAGAATCCCGGACCAAACCCTGGAGGGATCGCTGGTAGGACCATAGCCGAGGGGTCAAAGGCAGCCCAAGGCGGCGGCGGCATACCATCTCTACCAGGGAATTCAAAAGCAGGGACCATATTACCAATAACCAGCGCTTGGTCCTGCTGTGCTTGATAGCTCTGATCCTCATCACCTTGTGGTATCATACCCGATGGATCGAAGACGACATTGCCTGCTGCAGCTGGCCCACCATCATCGACAACACTTCGTTCAGCCATGACCAGTGATGAAGGTAGGGACTAATTGCTAAAGGAGTGGTATGAACACCCTAAGACCAACTAAAGACTAGTAGTGATAAGCAATGGAAGCAAGTGTAGGATAGAAGACTTCATCGTACAATACCATCACTATCATCAATAGGAACGTTCCGGAATAGA